ACTTGAAGTATAAAATTTGTCAGGAGATTAAAATATATTCATTATTTTTTTCTTAACCTGAAAATAATGTCAATTGTAATCATAAATTTTAATTACAGAATAAACTATGCCTCATTGTTGTGTGCCTTAATGTTCAAATTCATGGGAAAAAAAAATATTCAATGCATTGTCTGCCAACAAATGTAGAAAAAAGACCAAAATGGATCGACAATATTGAAATAGATTTGGATCTAACAATAGTTTATTTTATATGTGAGGTAAGCTTTGTAAATTATATTAATGAACTATTACATATATTATATATATTAGTTGTATAAATATTGTTTTAAATATTGTGATTAATAATATTAATATAAAACAGACACACATTTTGCGGCTGAAAACTTCGTTTTCCAATATTTTATTTTTATCATTCTTTAAATGTATGTGCGCTCCCACTTGCACTTTGATTGGTGCCGCCATTTTAAGGGTAAACCAATGAAAAGATGTTACCAAGATGGCCAGACTCTGTATTCCAAGGACACTAGTCTCCTACAGAAAGCAATACAAAGTTTAAATATTGTAATTTAAAAAAATGGTTTTAGACCCTGCGGGTTGCATTCTTTCTCGGCGGATGCAGTTAATTATTCTAAGATCTTGAAAAGAAGTCAATCAGACAAATCATATGATAAATTATCTACTTTAAATTATTCCACTATTTTGAAGTATATAGAAGAAAAGATTGATTCAACCACATTAACAGTTTTTCAAATTGCTAGTAATTCAAATGTACGGTCCGGCAAAAAAGAAGATACGAGTCTTTTTTATCTTTGGAAGGATTTAATTAAAGACGTAAAATCTGGGAATAACAATTTGAAACCTGCAATAGATATAAACCAAGAATCTTCAACCTTTCAAACAAAAGAAAACTTTGATGAACACAAAAATAGTTATAAAAATCAAAAAGTCTTGGTTGCAAATGTAACCGAAGAAACTCAAAATGCATGTATGTAACGATATAGCATATATTTTACATTGTAACAATTAATTTTTCTACATTTGATTAAGTACAAAATAAATATTTATATGTGCATTTACAGTAAAAATAATTTATTGTTCTAAACAAATTTTTTCAGGTAATATTTATTCTAGACGATGACAACATTCTCATTCCTATCACAAATAATAGTAGTGCTCTTTTGTTAGAGCCGATGCTATGCACAAATGTTTTATATGACTGTTTCCTGATTTGCTAAATAAACTATATTAATAAAACACTCACACAAACTGCTGAAGTAAAAATAAAATACTTTATTTATTGTAACGCTGTAACGGTTCACGCTCTCTTGGCGGACCGAATCTATTTATACCCAGATAACCAAATCTGTCGAAACAAATTTTGCCAAATGCTTGTTACAAATTTTATTAGCAGAAAAACATCAAATATGATGCAGAGTTTGTTTTGTCTGGCAATGTTGCAAAATTGCTAGCAAAAATATATTCAAGCTTGTTGACAAAACATAACAGCAACTTGCTGGCAAAAACCAAGCAAAGCTGTGTCGTGTTACGCAGATCTTGCTTCATATTTGGCGTCAATTTAGTCTCAGACCAAAATATGTTTTAATATGTATCATGCTTTGTGTGCTCGGTTTTTGCTAGCAATTTGCTGGTACTTTTTATTGACAAACTTTGGCAACAAAATCCAAGCCTAATGCGGACGCAGTTGATGCCAATTTGCTGAGTAGTTTTGCTTAAAATTGCTGACAATTTGCCGGCAAATTGCAAACAAATTGTTTACTGGGTACAGGAAACAAGCAGCGACGACTAGCGGATGACAGCGACGCTCGCGGTCGCGCTAGCGCCACATTTGAATTAATTGTAAGCAGTAACACATAAGCTTAGAAATCAACACATGTCTTAACATACCTCGCGCCTTGATGACTCACGGTCATCAACACCTTTAAACTTAAGAATGTAAAAACTAAAACTATTGTGACGTGATTCTGATATAAAATTCTAAACAAAGCTTAAGAGCTAACGCATATTCATGACTGTTCGTCCTTGTCTACGTCACCCCCTACTGGTAACACACACAACTTTACTGCTGGACGTTTGTACTCTCCTATTTTGATAATAGCTGTTCTACCGACTCTATCCGATCCTGGCAACACTGCCTGTACTCGACTAGGGTCCACTTTAACGGCGGCAGTTCGTTCTCTCCATAAATGACTAACTGGCCCACTTTGATTTAAGGCCCAGCATTTGTGAACCATTTATTACGCTGTTGCAAATTGAGCAAGTACTCCGATGGCTATCTTTTCCAAAATGTTGCCGTATCTGCTCTATCATCTGCTATCTCGATAAATAATACCTATTTAATTTACTTTTATTATGTCACCGTGGGGATACGATGTTAAAGTGCCTATCAAAAAATGGCCTGGAGAAAAATAACTCAAGTCATGGGAATCTGTTGATAACCCTGTTAATGGCCGCGAATTTAATATAGTTTCTATTTGTGCGACCAGAGTGCAAGCTTCTTTGAAAGTCATCGCCGCCTCTGCGGCTGTTTTGTAAAAATGCTTCTTGAAATATTTCAGCTGACTCTCATAATCCATCAAAATGTGGCGCTTGAGCAGGGATAAAATACCACTGAATTCCCTTCAAAATTGTGTTGTCAATGATTTTGCGCTTTTGTTGTTCTAGGGAAAATCTCCCTGCACTTTTCTAGCTCACGATTAGCACAAGATTAATACCGTTATCGGAGTATACGTTGGCAGGCCTTCTTCTGCGACTAATAAAACGCTTGAAAGCATTGAGGAACGCATCTGTGGTCATATCCAAAACTACCTCCAAATGCACTGTCTTGACTATCATACAAACAAATACTGCAACATAAACCTTGATTTTCTTTGCTTCTTTTCTTCTACCTTCTTATATATGTGCAGGGCCGCAAAACTCAACTCCCGTTATGGTAAACGGTTTGAAAGGTTTTACTCCATTGACTGGTAAGTCACCCATCATCTGCTCCGACATGCGTGGTTTTACCTAAAACATTTGACACACTTACGAACCAATTTTCTAACAGTGCCGCGCGCTCTGAGAGACCAGTACAACTGGCAAACGGCTGCTAGCGTAGCGTCAGCGCCCGCATGACAATGTCTTATATGCTTGTGCCAAATAATTAACTCAGTAAGCCTTGAATGATGAGGAAAAATTAGCGGGTATGTAGTATTATGGTAATTCAGCATACTTTAGCCTGCCTCCAACGCGCAAAAGACTTTCACCATCTAACATGGGATTGAGATGCTATTGCCTTGTATTGCCTTATTCTTCTGCAGAGCACATATTTCTGTAGCAAATGCAGTCTGCTGTTCCACTTTGATTAGACGTTTTCTTGCATGTTTTATCTCTTCCATAGTTAAAGGTTGCAAAGGTTTTACACCAGCCTTCTTCTGACATAGGTAAACGAACCTTATGCAGGTGGCTGTAACTCAAACAAGTTTTCTAAGAGTAGAGAATTTGCCCAACAAGAAATTGCTCTCTGGCTGCTTAGCCATAGCTAATGTTTGTTCGTCTTGCTGATTCAACAGAACTTCAATCTCTTCTAACTATGATTGATTACTGTGCTGTATTGAGTTCTTCAGCCAACTAGGACCATCTCACCACAACTGAGACTTGCACAGTTTTTCAGGAGTAGCGCCTTGTGATACCAAATCCGCAGAATTTTCTTTTGTTCCTACATAATTCCAATCTTAAACTGTCGTTAACTCTTGAATGTCGCCTATTCTATGAGCGACAAATATCGGTAACTTCTTGTTAGTGGCTTTGATCCAATGCAAAACTATAGACAAATCCAATAATGCATTTTACTTAACACGATGTTTAAGGTTGCTTTAACTTTATTTACCAACTGAGCTAACAACTGAGCTGCACACAATTCCAATCTCGGAATTGAGATTGTTTTAAGCGGAGCAACTTGAGACTTTGCACACAACAAATGGACTTGAGCTGAATTATCTCTGTTAAGACTTTGTATATAGACGCATGTTTTGTAGGTCTGCTCACTAGCGTCACAAAACCCATGAACTTGAATTTCCGCGTCCGACTCATTTGCAACAACTTAACGCTTCACATAGAAATTATTTAAACACTGTATACTCTTAACGTAATTTGACCACTCTGTAAATATGTCCGAAGGTAAAGACTTATATAGGTTGAGACCTATTTGAAGTTTCCATAACTCTTGCATTAATATTTTAGCCTTTAACAGTACCGAAGCTAATATTTCAAGCAGATCAAATATCTGGGGTGATACTCTATTGACCACAGTACGATTCGACACCGCTCGATTCGACACAGATTTATTCGACACCAAATTATTCGACACCGTACGATTC